GCTTAATTTAAAAGAGAGAAAATATATATTTACTTTATGACCAAGTCTAACAATTACACATCAAAAAGGTCAAACGCATGCATTAATTGTATGACTTTATGCATGTAAAAATGCCCTTAAACTAGTGCGACGAACTAATCTAGTGATTTTATATTCGAGAATGGTGACCCGTTCCATGTATATCAATTATTCGGAATTCATCAAGGCTTGTAATAAATACGTCTTAGGTTATTTCATTGAGTCAAATCCGTATAGCATAATCATTTGATTAAGTCACACATAATAATGCCAACTATATTTATTAATTTATGGAGCTCCGTTTTTTTAATTTTCTACAGTACCGACCCTGAGAATTCGGAGGCCCTAAGCGACAAATTATTTTGAGGCCCTATATTTTTTTTTACACGTGTAACAATATTTAAATAAAAGAAATATCTATATTTAAATGAAAACTTAGTACAATCTAAAAATAGAATTGCAAAATAAAGTATCACTTACAACCGTAAAGATTAGGCTAGCATCATATTTAGTCTTCTCACGTTTTGAGATGCAAAATTAGTAATCAAACAACTCAAATCGAGTTTTTCCAACATGTTTTTTTCAATAGAAATCATAGCTAATCCATTCAACCTCTCTTGTGACATGGTTGATCGAAGATAAGACTTGATCAATTTCAACTTTGAAAAACTTCTTTCAGCGGACGCAACGGTTACCGGAATAGTCAGTAATACCCTATAAGCAACCCAAGCATTTGCAAAACAACAATTCATTCTCTTAATGTAATCTAACACAGCAGTTGTACCATTAGTTTCTGTAGGTATTGCTTCCCTTAAAACTTTCAACTCAGAAAATAATTCTAGCCCATCGATATCGGATACCATGTTATGCATCAAATACTTTTCAAGATTAATGCAGCAACACTTCAATTTAGCATCATCAATGGATTTAAGCTTTTCCAAATCAAATAAAAAACCAAAAATATCATCATATTTCTGAAATTGTTCAAATCTACTTTGAAGCGATGATAGAGCTTGATCTACTATATATAAGAAATAATTGACCCTGAAAGATTCTTCAACTGTTTCTGTCACCTCTTCACAAGAAATCTCATCAAACTGCTTCTTTCTATGTATAACTCTTTTTTCACGAAATATCGGTTCAATGTCTAATTCACTTGCAATCTCTTTAGCATCAATCATGGCTGATTCAAACCCAGTTTCTCTATAGATTTTGAAAAATGAAATGAGCCCTTTTAAATGATCTATAGCAACGTCAATACGGATGTCTTTTGTTTGCAAATGTTTGCTTACTCTGTTAACATTATTCAACACTTCATACCAAATAACCATCCCAAGTAAAAATTCAAAATTTTCTATTTCATATGTTGCCAAACACTCTGCCTCACTTTTTGTCTTAGGATCATCAACTATTGCCAATTCAAGTAGAGCATTTTTAATCTGTGGAGCTTGATATCTTATTGCTCTAACACTTTCAACATGACTTTCCCAACGTGTTTGTGACAAAGGCTTAAGGGTAAGGCCATTTACATTATCTTTGAAAATTTTCCATCTTTTAGTAGATGATGAAAACAAAGTGTATATACGTTGCACCACTCCAAAGAAAGATTTAGCTTTTGTACAGCAAGTAGCCATATCACAAAGTACAAGATTAAGACTATGACACCCACAAGGAGTGTAGAATGCTCTAGGATTTACTTGCAGTAGTCTATTCTGTACCCCTTTATGTTTTCCTTTCATGTTAGCACCATTATCATATCCTTGACCCCTTATATTATCAATATCCAGATCTAGATTATTCAACGAGTTCACTAGTTCATCAAAAAGTCCCTTTTCAGATGTATCATCCACCAATAAAAATCCTAAAAAGAATTCTTCCACCTTCACTGGACTTGCTGAAATATCAACACACCTCAATACTATAGACATCTGCTCTTCGTGACTCAAATCTGGAGTGCAATCAAGTATAACAGAAAAGTACTTCGATTCTTGGAGTTTCTCGATGATTATTTTCTTGATCTCACCAGCTAGCATAAGTATTAACTCATTCTGAATTTTGTGTCCAAGATAATGATAATGAATTTCTTTATTTTGAATTCGACGAATATGCTCTTGCATTACAGGATCAAACTTAGCAATCATTTGAATTAGGTTTAAGAAGATACCATTATTTTCTTGGTATATCTTCTCGTTATTTCCACGAAATGCTAAATTATTTTCTGCAAGAGTTCTAACCACTGATATTATTCTCAATAATACTTGACTCCAATGTTCTCTATCTCTATTGATTTGCTCCTGCACGCTTTTATCAATTGTTTGTTTCTTTTCAAATCTTATTTCCATTTCGATCCATCTACTCATGTTAGTGATATGGTCATAACTCACTTCATGCGTTTTCAGTTTTTCACCAATATTTTTCCAATCATTCGCACCATCATGTACCAAATGAGTTCTGATCCCATCATTCTTGAATAGCTTACAACAAAAGCAAAATATTTTATCCAGACTTTTTGAATATATCAACCACTTTCTATCATGCTTCTCTCCATTAGGTAATCGTCGAATGTAATGAACAGGGGAGAAGTGTCGATTAGCTGCATCTTTTGGAAAAATTACATCATTGTCTCGTACTGGACCTTTCATTACAATTAAGTCTATTAAATTCTGATTCATATTTTCCCAATTTGCTGGATCACTGATATCAACAAAAAATGGTTCACTATCCAGTCCATCCTTTTCATTAATGTTTCTTTCATCCATAACATCATCCTCGATAGATACCTCTTCATTCACCAAAGAATGATGTTTTTCAATTATATTATCACCAATATCGTTCTTATTAAACTCTCCTTCAGTAACCACGTCTTCATTATGTTTTTGTTTATTGCCACTAAAAAATTTATCAAGGGCGCCCTCTTGAGATTTAATCAATTGCTCAATCCTTCTATTCCGTTTTCTTTTAGAATATCCAGATTCAAATTTTCTAGTGGACATAATTGTAAGCAAATAACGGTAGAACCTGATTGACGAGGTAGACTTAGAAATATCTCGGATTCTCAAATATCGCCAAGTGAAGGAATTCAACAATCAACCGGCTGCAAGAAATAAACAACATACATTTAGAATAAATTTGAGCAATACCAACATACTGATGAACTAAACTTGAGCAATAAAATCATTAAATCAAACACCGCACAACACCCTTTTTCAATTGGTCAGTTGGTCTCCGTCTAATTTTATAAAACTCATTGCACTTTGCAGAGGCTGGAAGATTTCTTGAAATCTGAACCTCCACAGCCTTCTAAAGGTATTGTTTCATTTACTTTTTTTGTTTATTACTTTATTTGTGTTGTGATTGTAAATGGTGAATGATAATTTGAGTATAGATTTCAGATTTGGGAGGGGAAAGTTGTGAGCTAGATTATACCAGAATTCTTGAATGCCGAATAGAATTGAAGAGGCGATTTGGGTCTTGGGAATTTTGGTTTCTGGAGCGAGTCCCTTCGAGTCTTCGACCTTCAATTTCCTCCCCTTTTCTTCTATTATTTGGAGAGAGTCCCTTTTCTTGAAATTCTGGAGAGTTTTTTTTTTTTTTTGAAATTCATTATTCTGGAGTTATGTAGTCATCGCTGGAGAGTGGAGAGAGTCCCTTCAATTTTCGTTCTAGAAATTCTGGAGAGTCCCTTCAATTTCCTTTCTTCTCTTCTATTATTTGCTGGAATTAGAGGCCTGCCCTGACAGCCCAGTGGCCAATCTTCCTTTCATTTGGGCTGGACTGCTGTATGGATGTTGAGGCCCTGGTCCCAAGCCAAATTTTTGTGGCCCTAGGCCTTTGCCTAGGTGGCTTGACCCCAGGGCCGGCCCTGATTTTCTATATGTATGGCTCTACAACCATTTTTACCAAAAAAATATTAAGTGATGAGGGAGGTACAATCAAACCCTATATCACCCACACATAGGCGAAAGAATTCACCACGAACACTATTTCTTTTGAGTTTTACGTCATAAACTTCCTTATAAGATTGATCCAACTCGTATTCATGTGATCCCAAATCATTCTCGTCTCTTAAAGAAAACCGAATACAAGACCTCTAACTCAAATCAACTAATTTAAGGTCGAAGAGTAAGTCTACCTCCAAGTTGATGCATGTGATGCTCTGCATCAATTACCCTAATTATATAATTGATGGAATCAAACTCAGAGTCTTCCCTTATCTTGTGATGGTAATAGAAAATGTTTTTATTTTATATTCTTTAAAATTTATAAATGTTCACTTACGTGCAATTTTCGAGGTATTATTGGTGTA